GGCAGCTCGACGACATCTGCCGCTTCTGGGACTTCAGAGGATTGGACGTGGAGCGGGTGGAGAGGCGACGACGTTATCGCCGGGCCTGGCGTGTTGTGCTGCTGCGGGGAACGGGGAGAGCTGGGCCCCGTGTCACGCGTGCCTGTCTCCGTAGGTAAGTGAAGAAAAATGGCCCGTACAAAGCAGACCGCCCGTAAGTCCACTGGTGGGAAGGCTCCGCGCAAGCAGCTGGCCACCAAGGCGGCCCGGAAAAGTGCCCCCTCTACCGGCGGCGTGAAGAAGCCTCACCGCTACAGGTAAGGCCACCGGCACGGCATGGCCCGGCGCTGCCGCAGCCCCTGCCCCGCCTCACTCGCTCACTCCCTCCTCCTTCACCCAGGCCGGGCACTGTTGCCCTCCGCGAGATCCGTCGCTACCAGAAGTCCACGGAGCTGCTGATCCGCAAGCTCCCCTTCCAGCGGCTGGGGAGGGGAATCGCCCAAGATTTCAAAACAGATTTGAGGTTCCAGAGTGCAGCCATCGGTGCGCTGCAGGTATTGCTAGCGGCCTGCTGGGCCTTGGCGCTCGCGGTGCTGAGTGTGCTTCGCTGAGGGTTTCTAACAACGTTTCTTCTTGTGCCCTTTAAACAGGAGGCCAGTGAAGCATATCTGGTGGGTCTGTTTGAAGATACAAACCTGTGTGCCATCCATGCCAAGAGAGTCACCATCATGCCCAAAGATATCCAGTTGGCTCGCAGGATACGGGGAGAGAGGGCTTAAGTGAAGGCTGTTTTTACGGTGTTTTGTAGTAAATTCTGTAAAATACTTTGGTTTTAATTTGTGACTTTTTTGTAAGAAATTGTTTATAATATGTTGCATTTGTACTTAAGTCATTCCATCTTTCACTCAGGATGAATGCTAAAAGTGACTGTTCACATAAACCTCAGTGATGTGAGCCTTGTTGCTCAGGAGTGACAAGTTGCTAATATGCAGAAGGGATGGGTGATCTTTCTTGCTTCTCATGCATGTTTCTGTATGTTAATGACTTGTTGGGTAGCTAAACTTGTAAGGTACTAGAATTGATATAAATGTGTACAGGGTCCTTTTGCAATAAAACTGGTTATGACTTGATCCAAGTGTTTAACAATTGGGGCTGTTAGTCTGACCATACATCACTGTGATCAAATGTGGACTTTTTCAGAGGGTGAAACTACAAGTCTTAACCACAGTGTAACTTACAGTTTCCTAAAAACGTAAACCTGGCAGCTATAGAATACACTGTGCATTTATAATAGCTATTTTATATATTGTAGTGTCAACATTTTTAAATTAAATGTTTTACATTCACATGTGAGGAGTCTTTGTCATTTGGTTTGTATGGGCTTGAAGAAGCTTCCTCCTGGCTCCAGTAGGTGAGCAGTAGATGCCTGTGAGCCTGGGCTGCTGCTGTGGCAACTTCATTTTCTATGTTAACATATGGGAGAACTTGGTCACCCTCAGAGGTGGGTGTTTGGAGGCTTTCTGGGGCTTGAGTCATTGCTCTTAGTCAGGGACAGCAGAGCTGAGCCCTCAGCTGTGGGGCAGAGGAGGCACAGCCTGGCAGATGGGCTTCTGCCTTTGTATGGGGCTTTGGGTTTGGCTTTTGTAAAGCTTAATAGCTTATTGTGTCAGGTGCAACTCTAGAAGGTTTGCTTTCTTTCCTCCTCTAGTAGAAGCAGGGGAAGCTTATTTTGAAGTGTGACTGGTCTGCCCAAAGTGATGCCAACAGTTTGTTCCCGGTGCAGTGGTGGGGGGGGTGTGGCTGCAGCCTGGCAGTTTCTGTGGGATCTGGCTGTGTGACTAAATCCCAGTTAATAACAGCAGCAAGTGCTAGCAGAGCAGGATGGTATGGGAGTGGAAAAGCTAATTACAGCACCTGAGAGCATGTGGGCTGCTAAGCAAACTCAAATGGGTGCTCAATAAGATTCTCATTTCCCATCTAAGCTGCTTTAATGAAACGGGATTATGCTTAAACCTTCACTTCAGAATGGCTCTTCAGGCTCTGCAAAGATGGGTCTGGCTTTCTGCAGTGCCTCTGGGAACAGCCAGGCCTTGTTAGGCTGCAGTGGAGGAGAGCTGCTCAGACTACATCTGAAACAGGTAAATAACATTTAAATTTAATTACTAGGCTGACTCTTGGCTCTTACAGAACAGGCTGCACAAGTAAGGCTAGAGTTGGCACACAAGAGTAGTGCAGGGCAGTAGCTTAGCCAGCTCATCTTGATTTACTTCAGTGAAATCAGAAGTGCTATGGCCAAAGCGACATTTTAGGAGAAAGAGCAGCAATGGTTACCGAGGAGCAGGCAGAAAGTCAACACTGGCCCTGGATGGACATGGTTACAGTGCTTCATTCCACAGTGATGGCTTGACAGCAGCTTGAGAACCATCCTGGCTGCTGTTCTGGGAGCCAGTGTCTGCATCACTTGGGCTGCTGGATGGTGAAGGCCTGGGCTCTTATCAGACAAACCACTCTGTCTGCTTAAACCCTGCAGCTGGAGAACAGGTGTTCCTTACCAGATGCTCTTACACAACTTCACCCTTCCCTATGCCACCAAACAGCCCCTGGTTACCCCCATTGTTATATCTGCTACAGAGCTGCTAAAAACATGTTCCAAAATCATCCAAGATTAGGTCTTAAACAAGAATCTTGCTCACTGCTAAACCTGTAAGGTAAGAGATTTCCTTGCATCCACATTGTAAACAGTTGCTTTAAGGGCCTGGATCAAAGTGAAGCACTGTCTCAAGCTTCAGCTGACACTGAGTGATCTCAGGTAGATCTGGCCAGGTCTGTCTTGGTGGGCACAGCCTGGCAAGGGGACATCTGGCAGGGAGGGTCCTTGGTGGCCCAGGAGCCACACAATTTGGGCAGTACCACACAGCTTGCACTTAAGTTACAAAATGAGAATTAAGTGATGGGATTTATGAATGCTTGATTCAGTGCTAAACTGCGGTAGCAGGCTGGGCTCCTGCAGGAAAAGTATGTTTTAAAATAACATTCCTTGAAAACAAGATTTCCTACGCATTCTTAGTGGAAACAATGAACCATCTGGGTATGCCTAGAAGTTGCTTCTTAAAATACTTGGCTAGCAGTTCTTAAAAAAAACAACCAAAAACAAAGAAACAAAAAACCAACAAAAAAAACCCCCACCAAAACAAAACATACAACTCAAAAATGAAACCCACCAATAAACTGTATCAAAGTATCTATTCATCTTAGTAACCTCAACAAAAAGAAATTTAGATCTTGCACGCAGTGGACCAGAATAGCAATTGTTGTTATCCACAACCTCACTGTGATGATAGCTGAAGACATAAACCATTCCCTTACCGATTCTCCTGATGATTTCCTCGCATTCTTGCTCAGAACTGGATGCAAACACCAGGCAGTCGAACGTGCTCCCATCAGGGCTCTCCAGGGAAGTGCTAAAAATGGAAACATGTACATTAGCCGGCAGAGAGAGCAGCTCTGAAAGCCCAGCCCTGGCTTGTAACCACACCAGAGATCCTGCGGCTGCTCTAGATGTTGCTTGTTTATTTTCTAAGACCCTCATCCCTCTACATCACCCCCCCCACCCCACCCCAGGCAGCACTTACGCCACACAGAAGGCAAATAAATTGCTATTGTCGATGCAGCGTCCCACGCAGGAGATCATGGGGTAGGGGTGGCGGCACAGAAGCTGCGCAGGGGACAGGAGGGCAACAGTGTTGGGGGCTGCATTCTGTCCCTGTCATCCCTGTTCCTGGTTTAAATTGGCCCCGTGCCCCCTCCAGCCGGGCTACCCACACCACGAGATCAACAGCCTCGGGAGTCACACGGACCTTGTGTGTCCTTCACTCACCTTGGAAGAGGTCTTCTCCTGTACAAGGACTTCTGCTTCCTTCACATCAAATAAAACCTCCTGGAGGGGGATGGAGGGGAAGAAGCCCTGCTCATCACAGAGTCTCAGCTCCATTTTTGATAAGACACTACAAGAGAGAGCTTACTCAAAAGCAAGAGTAACAAAGCGCAGTCAAGCACAGCTTTTTCAAGGAGTTTTCTCTATGCTGCCAGGCCAAGCAAATCTGAAGCCCACATGAAAAAATATCCCTGGGCAGAGACCACCCATCCCTGCAGTTTTCCCACCAAACCCTTCCCAGGATGCCCTCAGCCCCATCACTCACCCGTGCTGCCAAGCGCCTCTCCAGCACAGCAGGGATGGCCCAGTCCAGCACCTCTTTGCCACCGTACTGAAACAGCGGTAAGGAGGGACTAACTCATGGGCACGTGAAAAGAAACCCAGAAGAGACAGTTTACCCCATGACACCTTTCTGCCCCATCGCCTCACCTTCCCCACACCAGTCCGGCCAAGGTACCGCAGGTTGTAGAGCAGCCTGAGGAGAAAAGGACCGGGGGGCATCAGAGCAAGGACTCTACACACCCTTCTGCTGCTCTTTGTGGGGGAAGATGCTCACAGTCCCCCACCGCCCCCAGGCCATGGGGGCAGCTTTGGCCTTGCAGCCTTGAGCAGAGAGTGAGGATAGCATGGTCACAGGGCTGCCCTGTACTGGGACCTCCAGCCCAGGCACTGGACCTACCTGCCCCCCTGCAGCTGCTGTGGTTCCCCTTCACCCCTGCACCTGGGGCCATGCTGCAGCTGGAAGCTGGGCTCCTTCTCCTTCAGGACCTTCAGGTAGGGCAGCAGGGGCTCGTAGACCCGCCCATCGTGCCACCGCCACCGCAGCAGGCGGAAGCAGAGCGGTTGTCCCTTCAGCTTCTGCAACATGTCGCCAGCCTAGAGGGAAAGTGGGGGAAGCAGAGGAGAAGATGGGGGGAGGAGAAGGGAATATAGAGGGGGCACATGCCAGCCCTCCCTGCCCACCCACCTGTCCGCTGTAGGCATTTCTCAGTGAGCAGCCATTGATCTCGTCAAGGATGTCACCAGCCAGCACCACCTCATCCACATCTGCCTGGCTCTTGCGGAGCACCTCAGTGACAAAGACTCGGCCATCCACGTACCTGGGGGTGCAGTCGAGCCATAGCTCAGCCCCAGGGGCCCAGCCTGGCTCCCCCAGCCCTTTTGTACCATCAGTGAGGTTTCACCAATACACAGAGGAAGGGAAAAACCACCCCAAGTATAGCAGATACTGGCAAGGCTGAGCCAAAGGGCAGAGAAGCAGCCAAAACAGCCCCAGTGCTCTCAACGGGGTATTTATCTCCCCTTTTGGTGGACTTTTGACTGTCATGGACTCTAGATCCCACTGAAGAGTGGAGAGGATGAAGGGCTCCTACCTGAGCACCATCCCCAGCGCTCGGCATGGGACCGTCTCGTAAGTGGTGCACACCTGGAAGAGAGCGGCCAGTGACAGTGGCCCTGGCAATGGCCACAGGACACTCAAGGAGCATAGCCAAGGGCAGGGGGCAGGATGGAGAATGGGTTATTAAATAACCCTGTCTCTGCGTTATTTCTGGCACTGATGCAAAACCAGGGCTTCAGGAGCCCAGGGAAAGGCCGGTCCCCAGCGCCCCAGGCTGGGCTGGGACCATTTTTTGTCCCTGTCCTCTCCTGGGATTCGGCTGTGCCCAGACTCCAGAGGGACAGACGCACAAGATGGACAGGATGGCAACGCAGCGTTGAGCCTTTAACTGGGCGATGAGTGCTCCTCCCTCACCCTGCACGTCCCCACACAGCCGGGGGAGCGCTGCCACCCCTGCCCAAAGCCGCTGCCATTTGCGGCAGCACTTACTGTCACATCGCATTAGCCAGGGACCCGAAACGCGGCCAGTTCAGCCGGGAGCACTTGGTGTTAGAAATGCCCAAAAGCCAGCGGGATCCCAGCATCTGCAGCAGCGCTGTGACTCAGTGCACACCATAACCAGCCCCAAAGCCGCTGTAAGCTTTTTTTGGGGTTTCATTTAGATTAAAAAGGCAGCAGAGGAATGCTCTTCATTTTGAAAAGACATCAAGGCATCCCCGCTGTTCTCAATAAATGTGCCCATATTTCACCAAGCAAAACTAACACGTAATCGGTGTCAGACCAAGGAAATGGGGATTTTTTGGCAAGAAATCAGGGAAAGGAGCATGGGAGAACTTCATTTAAGCCTGGGTACTGCTCTTGCTTGGTTTTACTCCCAGGAATGCTGGGATCCACTCCTGGTGACAGCACAGGCACCCAGCAGGATCCAACCTCAGTGGCAGAGGTGGCTCTGCTGGTGCTGGTGAACCTAAGCCAATTCACCCCTGGCTGTGGCCGGGCAGAGGTGTGTGGCAATCCCTCTCCACCAAATCATTCCTCATCTTCCTCATTTGACTTTTCAGCAAGGGCCAGGTGG